ACTGGTCCTGGCTACAACCTTGTACTTTCTGTCTCCTGAAGCTTCCCGGGCCAGCACCATGACATCACACACTTCAGACAACTGCTGTGTCCAGACCCCTCTGTGAAGTGTATAATACAACAACAGCTGAGGTCAGTCGTCTGCTCTCTCGGGCATCCCTGGAAGTGGCTGCTGACTCTGTGTCTCCTTTGTTATCCAGGAATTCTGTGACTGAGGCACCATTCTAATCTTTAACCTCTTGGCAGTCCCTCCAGGATACCAAATTCCAGCCCCTATGCATGAACTTTCTCAAGCTTCCCCCTCTGTTCCCTCACTTAACCAGGTCATCTTAGCAGACACATAATTATCATCCCCACTTGGTGACTACCACCAGAGCCTATTCTTCCCTTGGAGTCCAAATTCTCAGTGGACCACTCACCCCTATCCCCACCCACACCTCCGGCCACTTGCTTCTTCCCTGACCCCACTGCATTATACTCAGGAAGCAGAACCTGTTCTCCAAGAAGATGCCACATTTTCTCTGATGTCCAGTCCCGGTAGTTTATCTACTTTTGTCCCCAGATTAGAGGCATCAACTGTTTCAGCTTTGCAAATCTCTGGGAGGACCTTGTGCCAAGAACACGCTGTCTTCCAATTTGGTGCAGTATAGACTCAGCTGGAATTTTTTTGCCCTCCATTCTTCTAAGGCCACATTTGGAGAGATATTGCTTCCTACCTTGGAGAGCTTAGTTCCCTCCAGTTTCTCAGTTTCTCAGTCCTGACACTGGGGCCCTCCTGGAGAGAAAAATCAAAAGAGGAGGAGATTTCTTGATTTGGAAGGAAAATGAAAGAAAACAGAAACCTTTCCAAAACAACTTAAACCAGACCACCTGCTGAATTCTTCAGGAAAAATGTTAGAATCTGTTGCTGAAGAGTGGGACTCCTCAGTCTCTCTTACTTTATGGAGCAGAAAAGGCAAACCAGAGGAGCTATATGTGCAATAGCAGCCCACATCCAGCTTTTCCTGGGTCTCCCCTCTCTGTCTAGTGAGTCCCTAAATTCTATTGCTCCTGCCTCCAGAAACCATTCTTCCACCTTTGACTGTCTCAGTACAAACTGTACCATCACCATAGCCCATGAATGCACAGTCCTTTCATACCTCTCAGCTCTTCCCCTAAGGTCCAACCTCAACCCTTGTCCCATAACATGGCCCAGTCTCAGTCCCGACATCTCCCTCTGGTGCAGACCCAGGCCCAGTTTCAATCTTTGACGCTACATTAGGATCTGTGGAGTGGTTTCCATAGAACCTAGAGTGAGGCACAGTCTCTCATGCCGTCAAAAATTCGCCACCTGAAATATAACATTCAGAAATTACAAGAAAGGATATGGAGGTTACCTCTGTGGTCCAAAAACCCTGGGAAGACTTTTGTCCTCCAGTTCCTAACCTTTCACTGGTCAGGCAGTCTTCAAAGGCCCGTGTTCAAACCTGTGTCCTTTCTTAACAGTGAGCTATGAAGGCTACGTAGAGCAACACCTTGGAAAGAGGCTCAGCCAGCACCAGTGGTACCTGCCCTGCAGAGTCCACACATCTGTATCACTGATGATGTTATAGCTATCTCAGCGGAAAAAAATCATGCCACAAAAAATGTCCAAATTAAATGTCCTTTGACTAGGCTGTGACCGAAGGGTGGGCTCATGCTCCCACCTCCCTTGGTATCGGTCAAGCAGTGAAGCCCAGTTTTTAAAGGGAAAAACCACAAAACGGAATGTCATGATCTCATCTTTCAGCAAGCACAGGGAGGGAGGGGTACAGAAGCAGACTGCAGGTTAGACTAAAATCCAATTTTTGGGATCAGGCAGGAAATTCCTATCTTTATGGTTGGGGCTGCAGTATAACATGTCCTGTCCTTTGTTCTTGACCACAAGACAAGTCCTATCCTTTGCTCTTAACCAAAGGCTAGTTATGTCCTCCTTAATTTATCACTTTCAACAAGCAATCCAGGGAGGAAAAAGGATAAAGTCCAGGTGCAGGCTACTGGGGGTTTCTGGTTAACTCACTTACTTCAGTGAGTCCTCAGGGGGACACTACTGAGACCTCTAACTCAGAGGCTTTGTCCTGTGCTTGGCACAGGTGGGAAAGGGTAGAAACTTTAAGGGAGATTTCTAGTAGGATGTTTTCTGGGGACTGAAGTTGTGCCTGTGCAGGGGATCATAGGACTGCCCTCTCTTCACCCTGCCGTGGGGTGAGCAGCCTCCCTCCAGCACACTCCAGCCGTGACGTGCTGCACTGACATGGACCCTGCAGCCACAGGCCATCAAATCCACAGGCCTGCAGCCTCCAAACTGGGAGACTAAACTCTTTCTTCCTTTTGAGTGATCCTCTTAGGTGTTTGTTAAAGGAGCGGAAAGTGACCAATTCCTAGGAGAGGGAAGAAGGAAGAAAATGCAGGAGAGTGTGCCAGGGAACACAGAAGATTTATCAGGCCTCCCGAGGCTTGGATTGGAGCTGGCAGATTCATTGGCTAAGCAGGTCACCAAGGTTGATGACAAAGACCCAGTATCTTGCTGGGGCAAATTGCAAAGTGATTTTTCCATCCCTCCATCCTTCCCATTTTAGTTTTATGAATGTTGAATAATAATTGATTTTAACTGACTAAATAAGACTATCTGATGTGACTAGAGGCTGAGTGAAACAGAAATATTTACCATTCAACATTCACAAAACCACATAAGTATAAAAAAACTTCAAATTTTATATCTGAGTTAGTGTGAGGTAAAAGCATTCTAAGATAAGACGGATTTGAGGACCTCTGTCCAGCTACAGGCAGAAGTCCCAGGCAGTGGCAGCAGAATTGGTGAGGTCCATGTCAATGGATGTAATGGGAACTGGGGACTTAGGTAAAGTCCGAGCCAAAGGTGGAACAAACACAGCAGCTCCCTGAGATAAACACAGGACAGGAGGAAAGGGGGGAGCTGGGAATGAACAGAGGGCCCTGCTGTGCTGTGCGCAAGGGAGGGGGCAGGGAGCAGCCCTCCTGGGTGGCCCCTCCCCTCTCAGGACTCCTTTGTGACTCTCTCAGGCTCTGTGATGGAGGGAGGGGTATATAGTTACACTGCCGCACCCTAAGGACTCAGTTGCCTCAGGCAGCCTTGCCATTCAGATTATGGAGAATGTTTTCTCTTTTCTGAATAGCCACACTGAGCCACAGCTGAACTTTGGCTCCACTTTCTTGGATACAGACCCCAACTACACTTTTCTAACTGCAGTGGGGTGGCTCTCTCTTCTGGTCCTGTGCTACTTGTTCCTGAAATCACATTTACCAGCCCTCTGGAAAGACAAAGACATCCAAAAGGTATGGAAATGTGGGTGAATCCCCAAGAGAGAGCCTTTGTTCTTGTTTCCCATTTCAATGCTCAAATTATGAAGTGCATTTAGTCAGCTGAGGCAACTCCTCCCATGGCAAGTCTGAGAGGAGGATCAGCCATCTCTCTTTAGGGCAAGAGGCTAGGCAAAAGGAAGGGATTGGGAAGCTTCCCATTTCCTTTCTGTCTATCCAACCCACACACTGCTCCTCTGTGATACAGCCTCAAACAGTGCCACGCTGGTCCCAACTGGCTCAGTTACAGACTGTGTTCTCTAAGGAGAAGTCGCTCCTGACCCTCCATGGCGAGCCCCATTTTCAGGTCAGGCGTACTTCCCCAAGCCTTCCTGCCTGTTGGGAGGACCAGGAGAGCAATGCCGACCTCCAAGAGCATCTGAGCAGAGCAGAGCCTGAGCTCTGCCCCAGGATCAAGGTCCTCTGAGGGGGCCTCTGGCATCCTCCAGCAGAGGACCTCTGACTAGGAAGGTGTGGGTCTCATGGCAAAGCCCTCCTTTGATTTTCTCAAGTGGATAAAATTGCAACTACCTGGTCATCTTTCAACATGAGTAAAAGGAACAGATTTTCATTAATTAAAAGGGACATCATGTGATTCTTGGGGAATGAATGTCTGAGCTTATAGGAAGAAGCAAAAGGTGAGTTCCAGACCCTTAATTTATTTATTTTTTTTATTTTTCAGCGACAGGTCAGAGCCAAAAGGAGAACAAGAAGTAGAACAGTGAGAAGTATGTTTCTTCCTTTCTTACCCAATCTTTCTAAGAATGACACCACTAATCTTTCCATGAGGTTCCCTATTGGTGACCAGTGCAAATGGCAGTTGTTAGACACAGTCTCTGACAGAACATAGAGCCCCAGAGATGTCCAGAGGGAGGCAGTAGAGCCTCGCTCTGCCTGCCATGGGTCTGAAGCAGCGATGGAGCAGAGCTGCATGTGTTGTCCACCTGGTGGTCCTGTGAGACGTCCTGAGATGTCCAGGAAGGACTCTTGGTCAGATCTGTCTGCTGACATTGTGTAAAGTACTTTATTTCTGGGTGCCTGGCTTCACCAGTGAGGTAACCTCTCACTTCTGTGCTCCACTTGTTAGTTTTGAGCATCACATGGGATGAATGTATGTGCAGGTACTTACTTTATAAATGAAGCCACACACTTATGGGATGTTCTTAACATCATCCTCCACCATTTCATCTTGTCTACTGATTCTTAAGGCTTTGATAATTTAAAACCCTAAATGTTTTCCACAAACTGCCTCAGAACTTTGTGTTTCTACCTTCACTACATGAATCCCATTGTGCTGTTTTTCCAGGTTGGAGGACAAGCCAAAGAGAAGCAGAAGAGGAGAGGAAGCTGCTTTCTATTCTGACAAGGTGACTCTTCACGTCCCTTCTTTCCTGATCCCTTTTCCTAGGTGTCTTATGCATCCCAGAGAAACAGAGTAGCCTGTGGTGGTCATGGGCAG